TGGGTGGGTAAGCAAGTCGTACCTGAAGCCTTCACACAGTCAAGCTGAAGCAACAAGCTGCCATGTTCTGGCCCAAGACTGATTTTGGTGCCCTACCAGCCTCTGCCCAGGGCAAAAACAAAAGCACTAGTTATTGCTCTAACCTGGTGTTTGCTCCTGGCCTTGTTATTACAATGCAAGAATGGGAAAACGCGTTTGCCAAGACAGTGAAATGCCTCTGCCTGGCAGGACTGCAAGGTAATGATAAACACAGGCGCTGCAAGCCAGGTCTCTCTGTGCGATACCTTTTAGGAGAGGGATAGGCACAGTGGGATCCCTCTAGAGACAGCTCTTTTACAGCCACGTTACCCAACACATGGCTGATGAGCCCATTTAGCAGTGGCAGCCAGATTCCCACTTCAGGATCCCTCTCCTTAGCCATGCAAGGACAGCAGCTCACAGCTCTCATTATCTCCAGTTCTACCTGTTCTCTCAGGAAGCTGCAGACCAGTTCCTACTCAAAGCCCAAAGCCTGCCTAGAGCAGTCCCAGTCAGGGACTTCCTCCCAGAGGGAGGTGATGCTCAGCACGCACAAGATATTCCTCTGTGCTACCGACTAGAGAGGACCCAAGTCTCCCAGAGATGGGACCAACAACAGAAAGCAGAGATTTAAAGCCTGTGCCAGCAGGGATCAACCAAGGTGAACATACCTCACACAGTTGAGGCTCTGCAATAATTAGGATTCAAATTCAGTGGGAAATGTGTGCTAGCCAACACCTAGCTACCCTGAGAAGCAAACAATGGCAATTATTCCAACAGGAAGAGAGAAGAGATTTACCTGTGCATTTGCATATTTTCTCTTAGGGCTTGAAGGGTTTCAAGAGCTTAAGAGCCTTCTGAAGCAAGCTCCTCCTTTCCAAAATAGGAAACAGGCAAGCACAGGAAAGGATCAAGATCTCAAAGGAAGCCTCAAAGCAGGGCAAGGAAAAGACCCCAAGGGTCCAGCCCCTGAATGCTCCGCCTATGCCGAGCTCAGTGGGCAAGAGCTATGCTATGCTCTATGCTGAGACAGTATGACTGTCGTAGCCAAAAAAGACCTAAGTAATCTCTTCCTCGCAAAACTGGCTCCATCAGACCAACAGGTACTACTTCTCCCATGCCTAGTCATAAGGTGAACAAATACGAAGTGAACATGTCAGAGATCCATTTGCAAAACCATCCAATGATCACATCCAAGAACCCAGGAAGTCTAATACCCTCACACAGCCTTCCCAGGTGACACCCGGACAACATTGCCTCATCGACTCCACTGCAACGATTAAAATAATCCCTTTTACAGTGGTGTCCAGGATCCAGGGATTCACATACATAGCCTGCTAGCTACAAAGGGGAGTCCTAGGGATGGTTCTCATTGGGATCCGTCCCTAAAGGCTTCTACAAGACACCCCGGGTAGCAGACAGTGGGGCTTAAGGTATAAAACACGTGGTGCTTTCAGTGTGTCAATGAGGCTGAGGTTCAGCTGGAAGCCTTCCTTCGTGTTTTGTTTCCTTGCTGCAATTCAAGTCACAAGAGATTTCTTGCTGACCAGAAAGTTTCAGCATATTGCATTATAACAAATAAAAACCCTCCTTGCTCTCCAACAGAGCAACTCAGGAAGGTTGGATGGATTTTACCAAATGCAAGTTAAAAGGCTTTTAGATAGTCATTGCTGTTTCTAGCCTTGAACTAGCATGAGAAAGCTGCTTTCTGCAAGAACATTAGCCATGAAATTCTGGAGGAAGAAGAGTTGCAGGTTCAAGAACCAAGAAGTACCTTATTTTATCCCAGGCATGGTTTCCACACATCCCTATTTTATCATTACTGGATTCTTCTGGATGAGAACTGTGCCCAGTTTGAATCCAGCATATTTCTGCTTCAGCTAAAATTAGCTGATACCCTCTGACTGCAGATCCAATGCAATTTAAATCAGTGGAGCAAGAGAAACCTTCAGGTCTTCTACCAGACCTAGTTCTAGTCATTAAAACCAATCTAACCAGAAGATGTTTACATTCCCATATCATCTTGCATCTCACAGGTGCTAAATAGCTTTGATGAGCTACCTTCACATTACCCAACACCAGACACAGCAAAGAGGGTGCCTCTGCCAGGGAGATGCTATCCTCCCCCTTCCCCAGCACCGCACAGTCCTGCCTGAAGGAAGACATTCTAGCTCCCCACCACCACCCTCTAGCAGCTGAGTAAGTGAAGCCAGCACCCACTGCCCCCACCTGTGAAGGCAACCTGACTTGGGGGGGTCAGGCTTTAGCAATATAAGGGAAAATAGAGTCAACTTTCCCTCACAACAACCCCTTGGGTTCCCACTGTAGGGGGCTCAGCCACCCTCCCTGCCCCATCAGGACACCCCTTAAATGTAACTCAATCCCACCTCCCCAGGAGTCTCTGTGAACCCCCCCACTACCTATCTGTGGGAAGACTTCAAGCCCCCCTACCTGCCACCATTCATGCCCACAGGACCCTCACCACACACCTATGAACGCCTTGCAGGAAAAGGGTCAGCCCTTCAGAGACCTCACTCCCAACACCCACAGAAATTCCCACCCCAGCTCACTCCATGGAGCCAGCTGCTCAGCCCACTCAGAGCTTGCCCCATAACCCTCCTGCTCTCGCTCCCCTATGCCTTGCAGGGAGTTCATCCGCAACTCACCCTCCCCCCTCCCAACACACTCCCCCACACCTCACTTCATCCCACAGCACCAGAGACCAGACTGCCCCAAAGTCCTGCCTCACATCCTGAGCCCCAGGCAGCACCCCCAGAGCCTTGCCCCAGCTTTCCCCCTCCCACCCCACACCGGGCAGAGCCCAAGACCCAAGTGCCTTCCTGTATACACCCAGCCTCACAGCCCCCAAGGTCCTCCCCTTCCACCCGCCCCCCCCCAAACCC